CCCCTACTCTTGGGTCAAACCCTCCACTAAGCTGCCTGCATCCTCCACCAGTAATGTTACCCGAAATTGGGCCAGCTAGTGAGCTTAGGGAGGACTAATGACCCACCAGAGTTTGGCAGAAACCAGCATGTTTATTATACTGATACCTAAGCTCAAAAGAAGGGAAGGAGTCACACTCACAGTTGCATACTCATTCTCCCAAGACAGGCACAGCACTGGAGATGTCAGGATCCTTCAAGCTAAGTGTCCCACAGCACAGTGACGGATGGTGCGATGAAGGTAAGTCTTCCCAAGGCACGATGGAATGCAATGCGGTGAACCACTGGCCAGGCGGTCCGGGCGAAGGGCCTTCACGGGAGGTACAAGCATGTGAGTGCACTCCTGAGCACATGTCTCCTTCCCCTTTTAAGGACCTGCTCCTCATGGCCTGCGACTAGAGATGACTTGGCCACGTCTGGTTGGTCACACTCCACCTCGAGCACTGCCCATGCAGTGTCCATGCATTGGGTGTGTGAGCACTGCCTAATTAGAGTCCCAGACACCTGGGTCTACCCGGGAGCTTTTCTGATAGCATACAGATCACTGGTGCTCCTACAACACAAGACACTGAAGGTTAATACCTCAAATGTCTCAGTGCCTGAGCACAGAACAATTCCTGAGCACAGAACAATTCTTCGATATATGGTTAGAGGGACTCTTCAGACCACAGAATCTCCCTGGACAGAGCCAGGTTAATTGCAGTGAAAGAGGCAGACAGAAAATGGTAAGTCAAAAATCAAAACCACTTTTTCCTAAAAATTGCAAGCCAGTTTGGGCTTTGGGGGAGGGTGGTTGCCATGGTGTTCTGCATAAGCCTCCTCTATCAACTCCAGCATTCCACATTTTGGAGGACATAACAGTTCTTGAGGTTTCCAAGGAGCAAAGAGAGGTTTTATTCCAAGCTGCCGGTGGGAAACAAGCCATGTACGCTACCGAAGTACTCAGACTTATGATGAGCAAACTGCACATATATGAGTGGAGTGGGCTGGTCAGCAACTCTTACCCCGACCACAGCCCGGTCATGGTAAGAGCCATGCGGGCTGCTGTGGGGAGCTGTGGCGCGGACCCTCCACTTGGCCTGGGCAAAAGGCCAGGGGGGGCGGGGACACTCTCAGGACCCCCACCCAGGGCAGTTGGAGGTCCGCCACGGCTCCCCACAGCTGCCCGTGCGCTTCTTATCATGGCCAGGCTGCGGCTCCGAGCCCTTGCCCCTTGGCTGGAGCTGGGTCAGGATAAGAGCCGCCATGTGGGCAGGTGTAGGGAACCGGCATGGAGTTATGGACCCTCCATCTTCACCTGCCCTGGGCTGGGTGGAGGGCCCAGGGGGTGGGGACATGGGTAGGGAGCTGCTTTTAGCCACCCCCCACCACCCCAGGTGCGGTGGGTGGGGGCAGTGTTCTGTGTGGTTCCACAATTGTCCAGGCTCCCCTTCCGGGCTCCACCAGCTGCTGACCTGGCCAGGGGATGGGACCTTGGGGGGAAGAGGAGAGGAAGGGTGCAGAGCCACCCTGACGAAAAGTGGATGGGCCAGGCCTATCCGCTTTCAAAAAGTGGGAGGGCCTTGGCCCCTTGGTACCCTCTGTTCCAGCGCCACTGGGCGGGAGGCGCTGGGGGGGTGGGAGGAACTGATTGATGGGGTCCACTGAACAGCTGATCGGCAGTTGGCTGGTGGGTACTGAGCACACACTATTTCTGTTCTGTGGGTACTCCAGCTCCAGAGCACCCACAGAGTTGGCACCTATGGAGCCTGAAGAGCTCTGCACTGTTGTCATGAATATTGTAAATACAGGAAGCACAATCCTTCGGTATTTGCAGGGCCAGAGCAAGAACTGCAATAACGGGGGACATGATGATTTCTTTGAGGACAGATTGCTATGAGACATAATGAAAACCATTTCAAGGTTGTTGGTGGCATTCATGTAGCAGCTGCAGATTGCTGAGAACCGCTTCTGGGCCTGAGAAATGAGCACTGATGGCTAGGATCACATCATAATGCAGATTTAGAATGACAAGTAGTGGCTATAGAACTTGCAGATGCGAAAGGCCATATTCCTGGATCAGTCTGCCGAGCTCACCACAACCCTCCAGTGCAGGAAAACCAGAATGAGAGCTGCACTTTCAGTGGAGATGCTAATGGTCATGGATGGAGGGTGAAGTTTCCCTGGGGGAGGCTAGCTTCCTGTCTCCCTCCTCTTCTGCCCAGAGCCCCAACCACACTCTACCGCTGCTCCACCACAGGCCCTGCCCCACTCTGCCCCGGGCCCCTCCCTGCTAGGTCCCCTCCTTGCTTGAACCCCCTGCCCCCCGCTGCCGCTCGCCACATCCCTCCCCTCCTCCACTCCCCACAGGGAGGGGTGAGGAGGGACACCTGGCCTATTATAACTGCCGCCCATGCGAATGGTGAGCACACTCTGGAAGCTTGAAATGCAGGATTGCTACTGATCAGTGGGAAATCATTTTGGAGTTGCAAAATTCACAGGGGGAGTGGTTGTCACACAAGCATGTAAGGTAAGCTTGCCAGGTGTCCGGTTTTCGACCAGAGCACCCAGTTGAAAAGGGACCCCGGTGGCTCCGGTCGGCACTGCTGACCGGGCCATTAAAAGTCCGGTTGGCGCGGGGCTGGCAGGCTCCGCGTGACTCCCTAGAAGTGGCAACTTGTCCCTTGGCTCCTAGGAAAAGGAACTGCCACGGGGGCTCCAGGCACTGCCTCCGCCCTGCTTTGGCCAGGAACTGCGGCCAATGGGAGCTGCAGGAGCGGCACCTGTGGGCAGAAGCAGTGCGCAGAGATGCCTGGCCACGCCTCTGCCTAAGAGCCGAGGGACATGTCACTGCTTCTGGGGAGCCACCTGAGGTAAGCACTGCCCGGAGCCTGCACTTCGCACCCCCTCCCATGCCCCAGCCCCCTGCCCCAGCCCTGAGCCCCCTCCTGCACCCAAACTCCCTCCCAAAGCCTGCACCCTGAACCCCCTCCTGTGCCCCAATTCCCTGCCCCAGCCCAGATTCCCCTCCCGCATATTGAACCCCTCATTTATGGCCCCACCCTAGATCCTTAACCCCCCCACCCCAGCCAGAGGCCATACCCAATCCCCTGCCTCATCCCAGAGCCCTCTCCCATACTCTGAACCCCTCTGCCCCACCCCCCAGACTGAAGCCCCCTCCTGCATCCCAAACCCCTGCTCCAGCCTGGTGAAACTAAGTGAGTGAGGGTGGGAGAGAACAAGTGACAGACAGAGGGGGGATGGAGTGAGTGGGGGTGGAGCCTTGGAGAAGGGGTGAGGCAGTGGGTGGGGCTCATTAAAGGGTGGGAAAGGGGTGGGGCAAGGGTGTTCAGCTTTGTGGTGGGGTGATCCTGTTGGGATCCGGGAAGTGAGTGGGTGGGAAGGACCTCCCCCAGCCTAAGGGGAGGATCCACAAGGTCCGGGATCTCAATTAAGTACAGGGGACAACTAAAGATATAACAGGAATGGGAGTGAGGTCACAGGGCTAAACGAAGGGAACCTGATGGGGACACCGAGCAGAGAACCCTGGACAGCACCCACTGCTCCTTGAAGGTGTCAAGGGAGCCAGCGGACGCCGCCCAGAGGAACTCTGCTCGGATGCATGAGCAGACGGAGGATCGGAAATAGACTCCACTGTAGCAGAAAACCCCATTGGCCAACCTCCTCTCCCTGGTTTTGTAGATGGCCATTTTGGCCAATGCTAGGAGGAGGTTGACAAGGAGGTCCCATGACTTGGTGTGGCCATGGATAGGTAATGCATAGGTAAGGAGGTAAGGGGAAAAGTGCAGCCAAAAACGTAACAGGATATCTAAGAGGAGCCGGAATAGGAGCTGCAACCTGGCACACTCCAGTTACACGTGCGCCAGGGTCTCCCTCAGACTGGAGAAGGGGCAGGTGTCCAGGACAGGGGTGAACCATGCCAAGAACATGCCCGTGCTCATGGCTCTGTGAAGGAGCCGTCAACTAATATCCCCAGAGGGTTTTGGGACCAGAGTGGAATATAGGCTGGCCCACTGGGGTTCCTCACCCTCCAGAGGTGGTAGGAGGTCCCACCACTTCATGTCAGGGTTGGAGGCGAGGGTGAGGACGTGAAGGGGGTGGAGCATGAGTGTGTACAGATGTCTCCTTGGTGTGGTCCGGATGTACGGCACATACATTCCTATTTTGGCAGCAACCCATCTCGCCACAGAGTACATCAATAGAAAGGGCTACTTTTTATGGTTATGCAAATGTTGGTGGATCACTAGGGACATTTCATTGACATCAGTGTGGGTTGGTCAGGAAAGATGCATGATGCTTACATCTTCAGGCAAGCAGGACAGCTCAGAAAGCTAAACGCTGAAACATTCTTTCCTGACAGGCAGATTATTGTCACTGGTAACATTGCCCTGCCAGTAGTGATCCTGGAGGCTTCAGCATACCCCTTGCTCCCCTGCCTCATGAAGCCATACACCGGCCATCTCACCAGCACCAAGGAAAGCTTCAACTACCAGCTCAGCAGATGCAGAATGACAGGCGAACATGCTTTTGGAAGTCTGAAAGGATGCTGGCAGTGTTTACACAGAAGAATGGAATGCAGTGAGAAAAAATATCACAGTGATTATAACTGCCTGTTGTGTCCTTCATGATATCTATGAGGCAGAGGGGGAAGGGTTGCCTTCAGGGTGGAGGTGAAGAGGCTGTCTGCTGACTTGGAACAGGCAGATACAAGGGCCAGTACAAGAGCTCAACATGGAGCTATGTGGCTGAGGGAGACCTTGAAAGAGCACTTTAATGGTCAGCCACATTAATGTGCTATGGCAGCTGGCCCTGAGGTTTGGGGGACTGTTAGGAATTGTATAGTGCTTGCTGTACATTTATAATTATTATACTGCATGTTGCACTGAACCTATGAGTTCTGTGGTCCTGTAAGATTACAAGTAATAGGTGCATGGAGTAGTGCTAAGCATTCTGCAGCATATGTTGTGACATAATAAAGTTGAATTTATTAAATAAATAAATACATAAATAAAGTAAATGTATTGCATACCAAAAACAATGCAAAGAAAAAGTGCAATTAAAAACAAAACAATACAATACCAACTTCTACAACAAATTAATGGAATAGAACTTTAAAATCAGAAAGGTGGAAACACTCCTGTCTATTTCAGTCCATTTTGGCTACACATACATCAGCTGTAGGTCTCACAAGTCAGTGTATGAGAAGCTGTGGTTGTTCTGTCTGTCTCTTAGCATAGGGTGGTAGGAGTAGGAATGCAGCCCATGATGCCACGTGGAATGTTGAGGGGTATCGGGACCTGTTAAACTGGCATACTCCAGTGACTGCAGAGGGTGGCGAGGCTGTGGTTGTTGGGCCTGTAGGTCAACAAGAATCTGCAGCATTTTGTGTTCGCTGTCTGAGAAGTTCCATTATGTCTTGGTGAATCGCCCTCTCCTCTTCCTGCTGGGATTCCTGGTCCTTTGTCCTGTCCACTCTTTCCTTCTGCATTCTGTCTTCCATATTCACCTTCCAGGCCCTCTGTTCACCCTCTGATGCACTTCTTTCTCCTTCTCATCAGGGCCAGGCATTCCACAGGAGGGGGCTCCCATCAAGGACGCAAAGGCAGCAGCAACAGATAAAACAGACAGCTCTGTTGTCAAAATGAAAACAGAAAGTTAAGTTTCAGACTTATTCCAATAAAAGTTTTAAATAAGACATGGTGATTGATTGACACTTCAACTTTGGTGTGCTTCTGCACAGCACCATTCTCCCCATCCATGGTCAGAACGGCCCATAAAGGGGAAGGAGCAAAGGGGAAAAAGATGAGGACAGAATTTTTCTGTCACATGGAACAATAAAATGTCAACCCCTATTTCCATGGGTATGAGTACAGGGCAATGGCACCAAGTATTGGCACTATTTTCCACAGGTGGTAGTGATTTTGAGCTGATATTTCACTCTTGAGGGTAACAAAGGCACAGAGACCACAGCTGCTGCTGGAGTTCTGAAGTAGCCCAGGTCTCTATGCCACTAGCCTATTTACTTCAATGGTGCCTGCCAAAGTCATTGCAGAATGATGTGGGAAAGTGTCTGATCATGGAGGAAGAAATAAGGCAGCCATCTCTAGAAAAGCTTCAGGAGAGGATTGCAAAGTACGTCCATGGAAGTTCCATTGAGATCTTGCAGGAGGATACAAGGGATAGGTATGTAAACTGCCATGCATGCCCCCGCCCTCAACCTAACCCTACAGGGGAATGAAAAGCAGATAACAACACTACCTCTGTTTGTTGTACCTCTATCTCTTCTCATACAAGTAAAACAATGAAAAGTGTTTTACAGGGATCCTCTAAGTCAGATATAAGCATAATAATTCACTGAAGGGTGACATGTGAGTTCTCTGTTGAGAGCCAGTAGCCCACTGGTCATCATAATCACTGCAAAATATACATATGCATACTACTTAAAATTATGTTCTTAAGGCAGGTAACCAATATGTGACATATCTCAAACAGGTTCCTTTCAAGCAGGAGGTAACAGATGCTTTTATCTATGTCTGGTCATGGGTGTATTGGCATTACATGTCTCACAATGGATGATAGTTTGCATACTGTGCCACATGCTAATCAAGAGATTGCAAAATCTTCAAGAGAAGACATTTACAGAAAGAAATAAACAACAGAAGGAGATACTGTTTATGAATAAAGACAATGCATTGTTGGGATATATGTAGTGGTGTAGAGCTACAGCTTGGATCCTTACCCCAGGATGCAAGCTAACAATGTGCCTTTCTTATGAACAGAGGGCCACAGCCAAGCCTGGACGTAAAATGCTGGAAGGACTTAGTCTATAAGACATGAAAACATCAAGTTAAGTTAATCATGGTTCTAGAATGTGTCTTATTATTTTACTTTATATGTAATCATTTGTTTCCACTTGAATCTCTGTACATTGTTAAATAAACTTTTAGTTGTTTTTGCCATAAGCATATCTAAGTGCGGTAATCTGAAGGGAACTGGGCAAGCTGGGATTTACTGTCTCTTTGGAAGCAGCAAATCTATGAATACTGCAAGTGTCCAGTGGAACATGGACTAGACACTCCCGGAAAGTTATTCAGAGGGCTTGGGGGTTGGCGAGTGCCTATTGCCACCCTGTTGTGAGAAAGCACGGCCTGCATAGACCTAGGGGGGAGTGCTTGTTTGCCCGTTGCTGGTGGAGTTGGGAAGATGATCTATGGCAGGCACAGACAAGGCTTTCTCATGCTAAGGGCAGGGGGTAGTGAGGTGCCTCAGAACTCTGGGTACCCGTGGGGAGCATCGCAGCCACCACAACCTGAAATAATGTAAGCCACATTCTACCAGTGTTTTGTTTTGCTACCTTTCCCCCCATCCCACCCCACGCCCTAAAAGCCCTTGCCAGATTAATTGTGTTATATAAGGTACAGGAGTCACTTGCCATTGTCTTGCTCAGAAACAGGAAACCTGGCACACAGCAGCCAGCAAACAGAAAAGCATAAGGATGAAATGGAATGGCAGATAGTAGTTCCAGTTTCTGCTTCACTGTAACTCAGAGTGAAGGGGTAGACGCTTGTTTCTTGGAACAAAATCCACAAATAAATAAAAATAAAATAAAATAAAATATCATTGCCTTTCTTTCCATGTCGGTCAAACAGGGAAGGACAGTCTTTCTCTGAGGAAGCCCCTCATGGTGAGACAAAGGCTGCTGAAGCTTTGCAACAGCAGAAAAAGAGCCAGAATGACCTGCTGCTGCAGGATGTGCAAAAGGAATCTGTCAGCTGGTTAAAGCAGTGTCCGAGTCCTAAATTCCAGAACATGGGGCAGTGGGATGCCCTGAAAAAGAAGTACTGGAAAGCAGGGCAGTGGGAAGCCCTGGGAGGGAGCAAAAGAGAGCAGGCAGTGACTCCCTGCAGAGTCCCTCCCATCCTCACTTCCCCCTATCTGTTCCTTGTTCCTGCTCCCATGAAGATCCATTGTTTGGGTGGCTCCATTACCTGGTTCCTGACATCACTAGGCACCGGCTCCAGCTCCGCCTATGTTCTCAGTGACTCTAGTCCCCGTGCTCCTCTGCCCAGTCCTAGCTGCAGTATCCCTGGCACCCTCTGTGCTCTCCTGCTACCGAGGGCCTGGGCCTGGCATCAGAAACTGCTGGCTCAGAGGCTGCTCTGCAGCCAGGGACGGAAAGGACACACATGGCCCAGGACCAGAAGTACTGGAATACTCTGAGTCTGCAAAAAAGTGCCAGAATGGCATTCCAGAGCATTCCAGCACAACTTGAGCACTGGGTTAAACAAGCGTTTTGAACTGGATCTGAAAAAACAGGATGCAAAAGAGAAGATGCTGGAGTGGAAGGGGAAAAATGGTGGCAGATTCTCTACAGCATTATTGGGAGATGTGGTGAAAAGACTGGGAAATGAAAGAAAGAATCAGTAAACAACAGAAGGGCATGTCTGGGAGACTCTTTGGTATGCTTGTCTCAAATCCTGGATTCCTCTGAACCCAGGGCCAGTCACAGCAACTCCAGTCATGTTGGCACCACACTGCCATGTGCTGCAACTGATGAAGAACTTGGGGCGGGTGGAGGAGGTTGAGCCATTTCATGTATAATGGAGGTGCATGTGATCAATTGTGCCGTGCCTTCACCAGGGAAAGAGAACAGACATGTGACAACATGTAATTCCATTACATTTGACATTACACTTTAATTTCCTAGTTTTTGCACTTTTGTTTCCATTTGTGTTTTTGAGGTTTGTTGAGTGTTGGTTATTTTGTTTAGGGTTAGCAGGCTTTGGAATTGCATCTGTCAGGTGGAAGGTTCCCAAGGTTGGGAAGAGGGATCCCAGCCATACACCTCTGCAGAAATACCAACCCTTCCTCCTAAGAGGGTCGGAGTTAACAAGCACCACACTTAACATAGCACCCCACTTTTATCTAACCCAGGGAAAGCCAGGAGCAGACGCAGATCAGGATATCTAGGAGCGGTTATACACACTCCCTTGCCCCTGACACAGCATACAGCAAAACAGTCCCCGCCCCCCATGTCTGGCTAGACACAGATACACTCTCTGTGCCACACTAGTGCAATCCTCTCCCCTCCTTGGGTCAGTCCAAGCTGTCTGCGTGCTTTGGTCTGGTATTGGCGTGTGGTATGAGTTCAGGATGCTGTATCTGTTAGGTGGTCTTAGCTCCTGTCAACTCCAGGCTATGGGTTTATCATGAGTCCCCTTTTGCCAGCAGCTGGCTCGCCTCCAAATAGCTCTTGCTTTGCCCTTGTTTAGGGCTCCAGCCTCCTGCCCTGCTAAATTATCTCCTCTTCCAATTTTCCTGGCCATGCCCTGTCCCACCCCTTCCACTCCCTCTACCCCATCGCTTATTGCCTCAATTCCTCCCCGACTCAGAGTTAATTCTGTGTATTTGAATGGCACTTCTCCCCAGCCAATTAGGTTTGTGCAGAGTAGTGGAAATGCATGAGCGGGGAGGGGAGATACAGGAAGTGGGAGGATCTCTGGCTAGTTCCACAACTTGTTCTGCTTTCTTGCATTTGCACTTTAGTTTTTGGCAGATGGACCATCTGTGTTAACAACCTTTAATAAACGAGTTTGGACAACAGTCCTTTGCTTTGTGTGCGCCAAAGAATAACATGCGAAACATTCACATCGAAATACACATTTTTTTTTAACTAAAGTCTTAGATTTAAAATTAATACAAATGGCATAGCACCAGCTCAACACAGTAATTATTATTCCCCACTCTACCACCCTCTGTTAATTAATATTAAATAAATTAATAAAAAAGTAATAATTCACTGAAAATCTGACATTATTTCAGGTACATTGCCCACCTTCACAGCACAGCAATAATTGCCTAGTAAATATCCACCACTACAGAACCAACAGTTGACTTGCCAACATCACACTGATTGCCCACAGATTCATCACCAGTCAGGGTAACCAGGTTCTAAAAGGCAATAGCAACTTGCTTCTGGACTGGTATGGGCTTTCTCATCCTCATGTCCAAGTACTGGAGTTAGCTCCTCACACAGCTCCAGGAACATGACCTACTAACATGAAAGTTCTGGGCTCAATGCTGATTATTCCAGGTCTGCATGACAATATAGTACCATCATTCTGTGACTGTGGGCTTACTATAAAAAAGACAGTTACCTTTTCCGTAACTGGTGTTCTTCGAGATGTGTTGCTCATATCTATTCCACAGTAGGTGTGCATGCTCGCCACGTGCACCGGTGGTGGAAATTTTTCCCCTAGCAGTACCCACAGGGGAGTGCCCTTAGCGACCCCTGGAGTGGCACATCCATGGCATAGTATAAGGGGCACTGCACGCTCCTCCACCCTCAGTTTCTTCTTGCCAGACAACTCCGACAGAGGGGAAGGAGGGCGGGATGTGGAATAGACATGAGCAACACATCTCGAAGAACACCATTTACGGAAAAGGTAAATGTCTTTTCTTCTTCGAGCGATTGCTCATGTATATTCCACAGTACGTGATTCCAAGCTATATCTGTTGGAGGTGGGTAGGAGTTCACAAATTCTCGGGATGGAGCACAGCCCTGCTGAACCCGGCATCATCCCTGGTTTGGGAGACGATCGCATAATGCAAGGTGAAAGTGTGAACTGAA